TTTGCATATTTATAATATTTTGCATATTTATATTTAAATTGCTTATTTAATTATTGCTTATTTATTATTTGATGCAAAAAGTTCAATTTGGATGTAATAGTAAATATTAGGGTTTTAATTTCTTGCAAAATAATCCCCATTCAAAATTGTATCCCCCCTCCCCATATCAAATGTTGTAATAGCCTAGATTACTTTTACGCACTTATGCTTTCAAATATGTCATGATAGAGATTAGGGTTTGAATACAATAATCCAAAATCAAAACAAATAGTTAGACCTAATACAAGACAATAATGCATGAAAATGACAAACACAATACACACATGCACCCCTAGGGTTTCATCCACTTGTTGCCTTTAAAATGGCCATGTTATGCATGTTGAGTATCTTGGCAAAACAAAAACCAAAACAAAAGATCATAGTCCCTCGATGATGCTATCTTGGTTGCCTATACAAAATGATCTAGTCCCTCCAAAAAATTTGCTAAGATACTTGGCACAATTTCTATCACGGTCAATACGATGACCCGCGCCTGTCCCGTTTAACATTCAAATACAAGGTTGTTTACCAAATGCAATGGTAAAACAACACTGTCAAAAGGTTAAAAATGTGTAAGAAAGATATTTGAGTAGATAGGGTAGACAAATCTTAGTTACTTGATCAAAACTTGTAAACTATCCTTGCTATTTTCAAACACACCTCACAACACAATTTCAAAACATTTCCCAAAAAACAAACTTTCAAACATTGAAACATCTTTTCAAAAGACAATACACCTTTGTATACATTCAAACAAGAATCATTACAAAGGTTGCCACAATGATGGCCTCTTTTCAAAACATTTTCAAAATCACACACAAAGCACCATTTCAAACAATTGAAAAGCAAAAGCAAGTGATCTAAACAAGTAACTAAGAGCCCATGGATAACCATGGATGAAAAGGATGCTCACACCTTCCCTTTTCATAATCTACCTCCCAAACCCAAGAAAACATCTCAAAGGTCTTTCCTGTGCTTTTTGACCTTTCCTTTGGATAAAATAAAAAGTCGGTGGCGACTCTTGCTAAACCGAAACATTTGCGAACACAAACGCAAAACCTCAAGTCAGTTCTCCCACCGCATCACAAGAGGCATACCTAAAAACTCGCTTCGTTAGCAATCCAATCTTTAGTGGGGTCATCAATAATCTTCGGTATCATGAGCTCCCTAGTGCAAATTCTTATTAGTATCCCCAGGGATACTTGGTACCGCAGATGTCCAACACCGATATGTATTGGAATCCCCGGTGATGAGAAGCAATTCCCAACGAGCCTTCACTTACCCCTATGAAGTATATTTCTTTGCATTGCATATAGTTATCACTTCATAACATTCTATCCTTAAAAGTGCGTAGCCTATCCATCAGAATGGATCTTTACAGCAAAAGAAATTCAAACATGCATATAAAGTATAAGCCAAATCGGGTACCTCATATGAAAGACCTGAATCATTTAACCACAAGAGGATATCGCTCTCAAACCTTCAACTAACATCTTTCACCTTCACAATGCCCAACTAACGGTGCCAGTACCTTGTACCGTTGAATTCCCAGCAAAATCAATACACCTTGTCATTCTAATTCCAGTTCTCATCTGGTAGTCAATTCCTGCCTGACGATAATTCTAAACCCAATTCTCATCTGGTAGTCAATTCTCGTCTGGCAATCAATTCTAAACCCAATTCTCGTCTGGTAGTCAGTTCCCGTCTGACGATCAATTCTAAACCCAGTTCCCGTCTGGTAGTCAATTCTCGTCTGACAATCAATTCTAAACTCAGTTCTCGTCTGGTAGTCACTTCCCGTCAGACAATCATATATAATTCCAGTTCTCGTCTGGTAGTCAGTTCCCTTATGATAATCAATTTGAAATCCCATTTCTCGTCTGGTATTCAATTCTCGTCTGACAATTAATTCAAATTCCAGTTCTCGTCTCTGTCAGTTTTCCAAACACTCATCCGTGTCAGTTTTCTAAACACTCATTCGGGCCAGATTCTCCAAACGCACGCCTATGTCTATTTTCCCTCTAGATCCCAGTAAAATCAGTACACTCAATCGTCCCTTATACCTTCACTCGTCATGTCGTAACCAATGTTTTCATCTTAGAACCTGAGATCGCCCGTAGACTAGGTTCTCCCTATAGGCCATGTTTTAGAATTCTGAGGTTGCTCATAGGCCTAGTTCTCTGAAAGATCGCTCTTATGTTTCACCTTAGGATCATAGGTCGCCCGTAGATCTTATCCTCCGTCTTTTCAGTCAACCTTTTCCTTGTATTGGCACCACTCCATGTTACAAGCCTTCTTTATCCTTGTATTGGCATTACACCATGTTACAAGTCTACATTTCCTTATATTGGCATCACGCCACATTACAATCCTTCTTTGTCCTTGTATTGCCATCATGCCACGTTACAAGTCCAACCTCTTCCTTGTATTGGCATTACGCCACATTACAAGCCTATCTTTGTCCTTGTATTGGCATTACGCCACATTACAAGTCTACCTTTTCCTTGTATTGGCATTACGCCATGTTACAAGTTTACCTTTCCTTGTATTGGCATCACACTATATTACAAGCCTTCTTTGTCCTTGTGTTGGCATCACGCCACATTACAAGTCCAACCTCTTACTTGTATTGGCATTACGCCATGTTATATATTTTCCTTGTATTGGCATTACGCCACGTTACAAGCTTATATTTTCCTTCTATTGGCATTACGCCACATTAAAAATCTACCTTTTCCTTATATTGGCATCACGCCACATTACAAACCTTCTTTGTCCTTGTATTGGCATCACGCCATGTTATAAGTCCAACCTCTTCCTTGTATTGGCATTACGCCACGTTACAATCCTATCTTTGTCCTTGTATTGGCATTACGCCATGTTACAAGTCTACATTTTCCTTGTATTAGCATTACGCCACGTTATAAGTCTATCTTTTCTTTGTATTGGCATTACGCCACGTTACAAGCATATCTTTTCTTTGTATTGACATTACACCACATTACAAGTCTATCTTTTCCTTGTATTGGCATTATGCCATGTTACAAGTCCAACCTTTCCTTGTATTGGCATTACGCCACATTACAAGTATATATTTTCCTTGTATTGGCATCACGCCACGTTATAAGTCTTCTTTGTCCTTGTATTGATATTACCCTATGTTACAAGTCCAACCTTTTCCTTGTATTGGCATCACGCCACGTTACAAGTCTTCTTTGTCCTTGTATTAGCATTACACTATGTTACAAGCCCAACCTTTTCCTTGTATTGGCATCACGTCACGTTACAAGTCTTCTTTATCCTTGTATTGACATTATGCTACGTTACAAGTTCAACCTTTTCCTTGTATTGGAATCACGCCATGTTACAAGTCTTCTTTGTCCTTGTATTGGCATTACGCTATGTTACAAGTCCATCATTTTCCTTGTATTGGCATCACGCCATGTTACAAGTCTTCTTTGTCCTTGTATTGGCATTACGCTATGTTACAAGTCCAACCTTTGTCTTGTATTGGCGTCACGCCACGTTACGAGTCTATCCGTCTTGTATTAGCCTCTGTTGCTACATTACAAGTCCAATCTCCGTCTTCTCACTACAAAATAGAAAAATTCTTTCCCCAACAGATATCACAAAAATAAATAAACACTCACACATTCTCTTAGAACAAATTTTTGGCATTGGTATTTAATCATATTCTACCTTGAACGTCCGAAAGGCATGCGCCAATCGTACTTTCAGGTTTAAGACGATTAAATTGGGGCGACTGTAATTCCCCAAATTTGTCCCACCCTTTCACTTTTATCTGGCTTATGCATTTTGAACTTCTCATTTCATTCACATACTTTCATTAGGACATTAACATATCATGCATTTTCATTGAATAAAGCACCTGAGGGTCAAAATTTGTTGGTTTTGTGATATAGGGTTTTCATGGTGTTCTGAGATGCACATATCGAATAATACTGATTCATTTGTTTCCCCTCTGAGCATTGAATTCGGAAATTAGGGTTTTCTCTGGCTTTGAGGTTTTATTCCTTCATCAACATTGGTATGAGGATTTAAGTTTTATGATTGTGACCATTGAAGACTTATTTCTTTCTCATCAATGGTTCTAACTGAGAAGACTGTGGACTATGGCTTTAGTGTTAAGCTTCTTTTTCATTCAACATTACATCCATGGCAAGAAGACTAAGTTTGCATCTCAACATAGTTACTGGATATATGTTATAAGATTCTTCATGGATTTTTTTTATAAATAACCCCAAAGGAAGAGAGATTTGGTCAATTCAAATTATTTTATTGGTTGATTTGTAAAGTATAAGTCATGGTACAAAGAGAATGTTGGGGACTCGGATTGTATGTAAGGCGTTGTTATTATTTGATTTGGATTTTGGGATTATAATGTGCAAGTTGATTTGGATTTGAAATTGATTCAAGTGATTCCATAAACTCCAGTTATGTTCAAGATGTCTAAAGGATCATTTTGCTTAAGATGTCAAGCATACAAAATTGGAATCCAAGGTGTCATTACAAAGGCAAATGCGAGATGCATTATTGTTCAAAGAACTTTGGTCTTAAATACAAGGTTGCTTTGTTACAAAATATGGAACCGAGTTCATTTTTATTGAAGCTACAAACCCATTATGTTCTTACCATACAAGCTACAATTTCAGATTTATTTTGATACATGAAGAATTTCATTCAAAAGGGAGAATTTTAATTCAATTATAAAAAGAGGAAAATCTATCAAGAATAGTACAAGATGTTTGATTTACAAACCATTATAAATCGAAATATCATTACAACATACATGTGAATTTTGTTAAGTCCTAAACCAAGCTTCTACAAGCATGTCAATCATAAACTTCAAAGTAAGTCCAAGATCTTTTCTAATTCCTATCCAAACCGACACGAAGACTTGAGGAAAATCTATTGTTGCCTGCTAGAAATGGCACCCGAGACTATGCTATAACCTGCCCCAATTCAAAAATCAGAAAATAAGTTCAGCAGAAAATAGAAAAAGAATAAAGGTGCAGTTCAGAAACAATTCAGAAGTAGCTCAAAATTAGTTATCATAGTTCAGATTTGGAGGGTTCATCATCACAAAATAAAATCAAGGAAGCAATGTGATTCAAGTTGGTTCAGGGAACTAAATCGATTCATTAACAACCATAACAAACTTGATAACTGAATTCTTCCTAACTGTAACTACCCTAACAAAATTTAACTCCTAACTGTAACCAAATTTAACAGCAATAACATTTCAGACAGTTTAACAGAAAAACCTAACAACTAACTGATTTCTATTCACCTCTAACTAAATTATTTTTCCGGCTCATCTCTTAACTTCCATAACAGATTCCAAATAAACCTAACTACCTTCAACTTCAGCTAGCATTAACAGAGCTAACAGAATTTCCTAACTGAATCTCAAACTTCTAACCAACTTCTCAACAGAAACATAAAAGAAGAGAGCAGAGATAACATAAAAGGGAGGGAAGAAATTCACAATTAAGTCATAACAGAACAAGAGAACACAAAAAAGAGTCACAGGAAAAGTAGAAACCCAACTTGGTAAAACTCTTCAACAGTCTGAGAAGGGTAACCAGAAAACTCCACAGAAAATTCCCGAAAACTCTCTCTTCTCCTCTCACCTTCCTCTTCATCATTCTTCATATCCTTCAATCACAGAAAAAACTCTCTCAAATTCTCAAAGCTTCCTCCCTCAATCTTGATCCTCCATCACCAGAAAAACCAAAAAATTCTCTGCACCTTTTCAACCTTCTGCAACCTACTTTCATAGAGGAATCTGCATCAAAGCAACAACACTTCCCTTCAATCTTGATCGCGTCTTCATCAACATCCTAACATCAAACAATTTTATTCACTCTACAACCGAAATTGTACAATCAACAACAACAACATCACGATAGATCCGCAACGAAAACACAGAAACACAATTGTAGAAGAAGTGGAACCAGATGAATAATAGGATACGAAACACATACCTAAGCGCTCAAATTCTCACCTCTGGATTTCGTGTGGATCTCTTTCGAAACTGAATCCTGTTTTTAGGTTATGATGTTTTCGGATCTTGCTATCGTGAAATCATAAGGATGGAGCCAGAATCAGAAGCACGACGAACTTGGGACGAAGCTTCAAATTGAAACGGAAGGTGCTATTTGTGTGAGAGCTGAAGATCGCGATGGAGATGATGATTGGACCGGAGGCAAGATGGAAGTCGCGACGAAAATTGATCGGTGATTGAGATTTACAGGTTCGAGATGAAGGCAGTGAGGCAAAGTTGACTCGACGAGGTTCTTACCTTTCTGGAATCAGCCGTCATGTGTGTGGAGGAATATTGAGAGAGAAGAGAAGAGAATCATATTTTCTCGAGGAAGATCAAAGGCCACAAACTTCTGAACCTTATCCCTTTCCAAACACTATGTTTCATAATTTTTTTTCTTTTAAGTTTTCTTAAGTTTTTTTATTCAATGTTAACAAATCATTGCTGAAATATTTGTTGGGCTTGTGTTGCTGCAAACCGAACCAAAGCCCATTAGGTTAGTGTGTTTTTTGTTTAGACAAAATGAAGCAAACAAAATTTGGTAGTTGTTATTGGACTTTTCTTGGGCCTGTATCATTTTTTTGCAGCTTGGAAGTTTGCAACATAAAGATCTTCTTGGACTCATTCTGAATTGGGCTCAGCACCAGTTTGCTTCCGCACACATGTTTCCAGACTTACACCCCCTGACTCTTTTTAACTTCCTTTATTTTCATTATTATTTCAGTTTTTTATTCTAGTTCAATTTTTCTCTTAATTGATAATAAAAATGATACAAAAATAGTAGAGCATTTTAGAATTTTTTAGGTTTTCTCTTTAGAATTTTATTAGAATTTTCTATTATTGCTTTTATGTTTGGTATTCATTTTTGTTGCCATTTTTAGACAAGATTTTATGATAGAATATTGATTTAACTTTCGCAATATGGAATGCTTGGAGATCAATTCATTTGATTACTTATACGAAGCGGCTTCTGTAGAGTTTTCTTATCGCTTGCATGGTTTTAAAGAGGCAACAGACCTTCTTTGTTAGGTATCATCGTGGCTTCACTTTTATTCCTCATTTATGCACTTTATCTCTTTTCTAGAGATCATGAGAAACAGGGTTTTACTGTTTTCCGAGGCCATGAGAAGTAGGATAGAGATGTATGAAGGGGATCTCCGTTGCTGATTGTGATACGCTGGCAGAACCGACTATTTTTACTGGTTTGTGTTTTTCGTTTTTTATTCGCAAAATGTCGCGGTAAGCAAGAGTCGCCATCGACTTTTATTTTATCCAATCATGGAAAAGGAAAAAGAACAGAAAAAAAACCTTTTTTCGAGATATTCTGAGTACGGGGGATAAATTATAGAAAGGGAAGATGTTAGCACCCTTTCTATCCATGGTTTTCCATGGGCTCTTGGGTACTTGCTTATTTTTGAAATTGCTTGTGTGTGCTTGTTTTGAAAATGTTTTACTTCGTGATAACCCTTGTATCAGTCCTCAAGAGTGCGACAAAGTTTGTTTTGAAAATTTGTTTTGAAAGGTGTTTGTGTGAAAAGTTTTTATTGAGCAAGTACTTAAGATTCTACCTACTTGAAAAAAGATTGTTCGTTCTATTTCCTTTAGACAGCGCTATCCTACTATTAAGGAGTAGGTAGCACCGTCGTTGGAGTTTGTAAGGGAATTCGAAAGGGACAAGTAAAATCACTAAAGAAGCAATTAGAAAACTTTAGTAGTAACCCTAAAGTCTTAAGATCTTTGCGAGGCAACATTTCCGAGGCAACATTTCTAAGGCAACATTCGAATGGGACAATTGATCTTTTAGACTAGAGGGAAACCACTAAAATCTCTTATGCTTAATGACTATTTACTGAAGGAAACCGAAGTGAGGTAAACCCTAGGAGTGAATATGTGCATATGAATTGTTTCAGTTATTTAATCTTTGCACATTAGGTGATCTACCGTTTAAATTTCCAGACATTCTTGCCATACAATCCTATTAGCATACATCTAGACAGTTAAATATTTGCAGGAATTTAAAGTGCAAAAAATAAACCTAGCTATTACAAGGCTTTGACAGTTACATAATTGTCTCGACTGAAAATAAAAGGCTGAAGCTTAAAACCCTAATTAAAACTATTACAAGCTCGAAACAGTTACAATAATAATAAGACAAATTAAAATGCGCGCGGTAAATTAAAGACGAGGAGAAATTGAAAACCCTAAAAATTTGACTAGAAAATATTTAAGTTATTTTTTGAGAAAAGAATTAATTAAATCATGTACAATAAAACCCTAATTCTAATTATTTTTAATTACAAAAAGAAGTTGAAATTAACCTAATCTAGCTAAATTAAATAATTTCAAGAAAATAAAATATTTTGTAAAAAAAGTTTTTGTGTATTTTTTTTGGTTTTTATTTGAGAAAAGAGATTTAATTATAAAATTAAAACCTAGTTTCTATTTAATTTTTAATTGAAACAAAATAAACAAATAAACTAATTAACCTAATTTATTTCAAAAAAAATATTAATTTGAATAAATATTTAATTCTATATTTTTGTGATTTTTTAGTTTTATGAAAAATAATTTTATGTTAATTAATTAAAATCATTAAAGAAATTAATTCAAGAAATTAAAAAAAAGAAATAAAAAGAAAATGCAAACTGGGCCTGTATGCTAGCAAAAGGGGGGGGGGGGCAATCTGAATTTTTCAAGCCCAATAACCCTTCAAGCCCGGTCAGCATTTGATTCCTTGTAGCGTTGACTTGAGGGTGCATCATGGTCCCTCACTGCTTGAGCGTTGGATTGAATGGATGATGAATCCATTGGCTGGAGATTGGTGGAGTATGGTAGACATCAGGATGTGAGATGCGCTGGATCTGTTGAAAGAAAATAACATAAAGGGAATGCTGGGACCTGGAGTCGAACCCAGGTCCTCAAACTCAACACCAAACGCGCCTTGCCATCTGAGCCATGTGACTTGTTTGTTAGTATAATAACAACAATTAATGTTATATAAAAATAAGTGGATTAATGAATAAAAGAAAAAATGCACGCCAACTTTCAAATAGTCCAATGATGATTGGACACATTACCTTCTTCTTCCTCATCTGTCGTTTTAGATCCTTGCCTTTTACCTACGGACAAGCTTCGTAGCCATAGCCCTGTAACGTTCAAAAATCCACAAAACGTAAGATAAATGAAATCTAACTATATAGATCAACTCGTTTTGATCTTGTGAACATCATGGTACCCTTCTTTTTTCCCAATTTAACCTGTAGAATAAACCCCTAAACTGCACACGCAAACCCTAACAATGGTAAAGGCACATACAGGCGTAAAAAATTCAATTGAATCATGCAGTTAGCTTGCAAACATCTCAAACATCATAAATATACCAATTAATCATGCTAATGATGCAAGAAATACAGTAATATATTTTGAAAAAAAAGCAAACCGAGTGAACTTGTAACGTGCGATTCAGGGTGTTTCAGGCCTTGTAAATGATCCAATTGGCTTCTGGGAAGATCCAAGAAACGATTGGAGGTGTTGGAATGGCTTGAATTGATCTCTAAGTTCAAAAACGATCCAGCACTTTTTGTCACTTTTTTTGAATTTTGTTTGGTGTTTTAACGACAGCCAATCCTTGTTTTTTTGCTTTGTATACGTCCAATATATATCTAGGAATGAATTAGGGTTACAAACTTGGATTGAATCTTTGCAATTATGAGAGATTTGATTTGATTTTCAAGCTATATGTAAACTTTCTATTTTGAGACAAATCATCCCTTTCTTGTACCAATTATGCTTGATTCGTTTTTGCCTTGATAATTCAGCATATTTTGATTGCCAACCTATCCAAAAACCAAATCAAATCATATATTTGCTATTATTCATCAATTATTTGATTTAATTCAATTTTTAATTAATAAAAAATAAAAAAATTGAAAAATGAAGCATATAATGTTTGGATGAACATTTGAGTCGTGGATCACATTATAAGTGAGGTGCAAACATAAAAAGTTAGGCCTATTTAGCAAAAAATGCATTTTTGAGCACATTTGACTTTTGGCAATTTTGCAAAAAATGTCAACTTTGACAAAGCATATATCCTCCAATTTTAACCCTAGAGAGGTGTTCTTGGACTTTTTAGAAAGCTTAGAATGTCCTATAAGAAACCCTTTTGGTCTCATCTCAATTGAGTCTTCCATGTTCATGTAAGAAGCTTTGACCCAAAAGGTGTTTTTGTTGACTTTTCAAAAGGACCCATAATGTAGAAATTCATATCCTTTTATAAGTGCATATTTTGAACTTATGAGCTAAAGATGAATTGCAGGGAATTTCATCCTATTCAAAATGAGCTTTGGATGGAAAATTTCTGATAAAGCATGTGGAAGTTATGCTTGGTCAAAGTTTGGTTGACTTTTACTAAGAAACCCAAATTTAGCAACTTTTGGGTTTTGATGAATTTGGAGCATTCCTTGGGGAATCATGTTGAAACCTTGATTAAATGATGAAAGTAACTTCAAAATGTTAATGTTAACCAAAAATCTTGAAGTTTGACTGTATGTGGGTTACAGTTGACTTTTGACCTAATACAGTCGATTCTCAAACATCTGAGCAGTTGACTGAGCAAACTTATTGTGTAAGGCATGAAACTTGACATGTAGGGTCCTGAGAACATATTAAGACCATGGAGAGCATATGAGGTTTTTGGAGTCCACCTATCTTGATAAAAATGGAAACCCTAATTTGAGGTATACTGCCTTAGGAGAGAGTTTGTCTGGTCCACTCTTGGGTAACCTTGAGAAAATTGAAGATCTCAATGGACATGTATTGAGTAAAATGAGAGAGAAAATTTTGGGGTACAATAGCTGCCCCTGTTCAATCTTCTTAAACCTGAGGATGTAGATTGGCTTGTCTGCCTTTCGTAATCTGAAGGTGGAAGATGATTGAACACTAGAGTGCCTAGAAATTTGCACTCGCATGAAGTGGCACTTGATTTGTGCTTATCAGGAATGGGCTTACAAATGCCATTTGGAGGTCGATAATAGAAGATTGTTGGAGATCGGCTTAAAGATGCCATCCTGGATGCGACGGAGAATCGTCGAAGATGCCATCTATAGAATGTTGATTTCCTGAGACATTCCTTCGATGAGAGTTCCTGTTACTGTTGTTGATGAGGAATCTGCTGAGGAACATTGGTATCTGTCTTGGGAGAAATATAATTTTAGGAGCTTCAGTTGTCTGTTACTCTACTGGGGAAATAACTCCGACTTGGAGAAACGGAAGTGAAC